GACGGAGGTTTTCGAGCCTGTTCCTCCTGCCAAGGCTTCTGGGTCTTACCAGCAGCCCTTTCTTGCTGCCTTTCCCATGGACTCTTCCTTTTCCTTAAGAGTGGAGGGCTTGGAAGACGGCTCTGCCCCGGGGCCTCTGTTGCTGGTTCCCGGGGCTGTGAGGGATGCCTGCTAGCAGTTCTGGGACAGTTTGCCCCTGTCTGGGTTTTCTGCTTCTAGGCTGAGTTTTTCGCCCATCCAGTCTGCTTGCTTCCCACTTTTGCTGGAGTGTTTTCGTATCTTTTGCGTCGGTCACAGCCCTCTGTTCTGGTGGCCATTTTCTTCTGCCGGTTTCCCGGCGTGGCCACCAGGGCAGCGTTGCGGTTTGTTTACATGCGCCTGGGTTTGCGAACGAGCGTCTTGGGTGAGTTTTCAACTTTTTTTTCAGGGGTTTTATTCTGTTGTAATTTCTTTGCTTTTCTGGTGTTTTCTACCCGTTTAGTGTTCCTCTGGGAACATTTGAGTGTTGATTTTACACCAGGTTTTCCATTTTGTCTGTTTTGGGTCAGGGCCCTTGGGTTTAGGCTCAGTGTCCCTGGCTGTTTATGCTTGTTCTCACACCTTGTCCCTCGGTTTCCCTGGGGGTTCTGTCTGGGGGGCTGTGCTTGGCACGTTCCTCTCCAGTTTTCTGGGACTGGCACAGTTGGTGGTGGGGCTTCAGGCTTGCTGCTTTTGTTCCCTTCCCTATTTTGTAATTGGCACTAGGTGTTTTTTTGCATCTTTACCGGATCTTGGTGCCCTGTCTGAGTCTGCTTGGGATTCGGTGTCTGGCCTACCTCGACGACTGGCTGATGTTGGCTCCCAATCGGTCCGCTTATCTGCTCGCTAGGGGTGTGGTTCTTTCCAGATCGCCGGGTTTGGTTTCCTGGTGATCTGGAAGCCATTCCATCTGTTTCCGTCCCAGGTTCGGACCTTGGTGGGCCTTGTTTAGGGCTCTTGGGCCGCTCCTTGTCTTTCCCTCCAGAAGTGTTGCTGCAGCTGTGGTCCCACCTTCGGCTGGTCATGAGGGGGTCCCAGGTGGCTCAGCGGTTGCTCGAGCAGTTGTGTGGGAGTCTGAACTTCGACGTGCTGGTCTGCTTGTGGGGTCGGGTTTGGCTTCGGCATCTGTTTGGTTCCTTCGGAGACTCCCCTTCCGCCTCTCTTGCAATCGTTGGGTTTGTTCCTCTGGGGATCTTGTGTTGGTACTGCGTCACCAGCTTCCTCTTTGGGATTTTCGAGGTTCCGTGCATTGGCACCTCCCCGAACCTTCGCACGGTGTGTTCACGGACGGGTCATCTCTCGGCTGGGGCTTTGTGACCAGTGCTCACCAGGTCGGCCCGGGATGGTGGGGTCTGTCCGTCCATCGAGCTCACAGCATCACATCTTCATGGACATCTTCAAGAGGAAACTAGATTTATTCCTCCAAGGAGTGCCGGACCAACCGGGCTGTGGTGGGTATGTGGGCCTGCGGGCCGCTCCAAGCAACAGCCTAGTGGACCAAACTCTCACAAGTCAAGCCTGGCCTCGGGCCGGGCTTGGGGAATAGAAGAACTCGCAGAACCCCATCAACTAGGTATCAACCAACAGCACGGTTCGGGAGTTCGTGGCTGTCTTGTTTGCACTTCGGAGAGTTTGGGTCACTCGGTGCTCTACCATTCAGCTCAATTCGGACTGTTCTCTGGCGGTTCTTTGCCGGAACCACAGGGTTTCTCTTAGGTGTTGACCTTTGGGGTTGGTTCCTTAGAGTGGCTCATTTGCTGGATTCTCGGGGTTTGGCTAACCGTGAGGTTCATGTCCGGGGTGTGTCCTGCGTCCTGGCGGACAGCTGTCTCGGTTCATTCCTCTGTTCGCGGATTGGCCAGTCGTCGCCGACTCGTTTTGTTGGTTCTGCCGGCCATGGACGTCTTCGAGTCTGTGTGGTCTAGGCATCACCCCTTTTTGTAGCGCCTTTTCCCGCCTGCGAGGCATTCACGGTGGATTCTTTTTGCAGGACTGGTCGAGGTGGGGTACCTGTTCCTCTTCTCCCGATCCAGCTGTTGCTTCAGGTTCTAGCTCGGTTGGAGCCCATTCCCACGAGAGTAGTCCTTATGGTTCCTTGGTAGCCGGCACAGCTTTATTTTCAGACGCTGCTTGATAGGTGTCCGAACCCGAGGTGTTTTCCCGCGGCTCTGTCTCTTTCGGCAGGTCAAATCGGTTCTGTACGTGACTGGTTCGGCCTTCTTCTCGACTCTTCGCGTCTGGTATTTTGACGCAGGTATCACCATCTCTGTGGTGATCAGGTGGCTTTGTTGATGGTGTACCACCTGCGAGCTTCGTCTTGGCGACAGTATGACGTTCCTGGTGTATCTATGCACTTTTTCTTGCTCTTCGTAGGGTGTCTTCTCCTTTGCATCGGGTTGTCTTGTCCTTTCTTGGGTTTTCAAGACTACAGTAAATTGATGTTTCTGACTGTCGCCTCGTTTTGTGCAGCGCTGGCAGAGCCACTCCTGCTTGCGTTCGGGGTGGACGTCACATCTGCCCCGTTTCGTATGCTTTCTCATGTTTTGTTTCACCTCCGGCCTGGTCATGCGTCGCCCGAGCCGTCCTAGTCCTTGATCAGGGTGCCTTCTTATCTTCTCCTCAGTTTGTGATAGCCCCTTCGGTTCAGGTTTCTGCTCTTTGGTACTGGTGGAAGGTTTGTACGTTTGCAGCCTTTCTCCGTCCTGGCAACGGTCGAGACTACTGCTTTCCGGAGGGGTTCTTGGGTTATTAATGCTTGATTGGTTTGGCCAGGGGTGCGTCCTGTGTTGTCCGGTTGCGCTTTTTGCCGTTACCTGCGTACCGTGTCTGGGGATGTGCTTTGGGTTGGTCCGGTTCCCCTTGTTCCGTTTCAGGGCTCGGGTCTCCCAGGTCATCCGCAGAGTTTTTTAGTCTTCCAGCCTGCGGTCTGTCCCTGCGCCTGCACTGTTCGGACGTTTGCAGCTTTTGCTGCTGTGTTGGTGACGTCTAGGGCTCATTTCGGGCGCAGGGATTTGAGGGTAGCACAGGTTCTTGGCCGCCCATTCTTTATGCGCGTCTGCTCCTGTGCGTTCTTGTTGCCTTGGGTCGCAGGTTACAGCCTGTTGTCTCGGCTTCGCTTTGCAGAGTTTGTGACGGCTGCCTCCCGGGTTAGCCCTTTCTTTTCCTTCTCTTTGGGTATGAAGCTCCAGGGAGCTGTAGGGGCTACCCACAGAAAACCAGCGTTGAATGTAATGAAACACCATTTTCTGGGTGAGCCCCGGAGGCTCCCTGGCAACCCTCCCTCCCACCGGTCGGCGGTTTTTTTCGCATTGGTTGAAGCTTGCCTTCCGAACTGAAGCTAGGCAGCTGGTGCGGTAGGTCCGGGCTCCCCCCTCCCCCCTCACGGGGCAGGGAGGGCTGCGCGGACGATCGCCGCGGCAGTAAAGTGTGATGTTTGCTTGTTTCCTTGGGATTGTAGGGAGTTTCTACCTCTCTGTTCAGTTTTTTGTTTTAGTTTTTTTTACCATGTGGGGTTTGTTTTGTTATGCCTACCTTTCTGGGTGCCTAACCCCGGTCGATGGCAGATAAGGAAAACCCCAACCACAAGGGGGTTTTTCAGGGCCATTGCTCCCTGAAACCTCTCTGAAGGGGCCAGGTTCTGGCGCTGGTCTCTGGTAGGTCTGAACTCCTTAGCTAATGTCCCGGTCTAATATAACATACATTACCCCAATAAGCTCCAGGAAGCCTCTGGGGCTCACCCAGAAAATGGCATTTCATTACATTCAACACTGGTTTTTTGCTGTTATTACATCATATTCACACATTATAAATAAATATCTACATGTGCATTCACCATAATGAACCACTAAGCTTGTATGTTGAGTCCAAGCAACATAGTGGCCACCATACACCAGTTAGCTGACGACGCCACCTCACTGTCAAGATTTCTTCTCCCACATACTATTCACACTGCGAATTCTCACCACAATGTTGCTATTATCAGAATCCTGGACACTAAATCCTGTAAATTAATAATTTTCCACAAGTTTATTTTGTAAAGGAACATGGAAAGTTGTTAAAAGATTCTTAGATGGACCAAACAATGGCATTGTACAGCATTGTGTTCACTGATATCTGAACTTTGTACACAGTCTTTATCACAGTCAGGCTTTTCTGTAATACTATCATTGCTAAATAATAATAGTTACATATATATTTTGACATTTTTAGGCAATGCTGTGGTCACAAGCTGAACAGCAGTGCTGCTAGTTCATGCTGCGTGTGCCAGCCTTGATTCCTTACTCAGTACTGAGGCTGTCATACAAGGGAATGGTTTCCACGATTTTTGTTTTAAATTGGTGTCTGTTTACTGGAGCCCTGAGGAAGCTGATGTAAACCCTGTCTAACCACAGGACTTTTAATTAATCATTTTAATCTTACGTGGGACTTTAAAATGTTTATATACGATGTGCTCCATGCAGGTAGTTAAATCAAAATCGTATATATACAGTTAGTGCTGTTCAAGGGTTAAAAGTACTTGGACCCACCATGAAAGATGGCATCCATTGAGCACTATTGTAAGGCACTAGGCAACACTTCAGCGACAGAACTGACTGGCTGGCTGGTGGAGGACCATGTTCTGGTCTTGAGGCTTCAGGTTTTGTAAATCCATCAGTTGTCTGTAAAGCTTCACTGACTTTCTCAATGATTTCCCAGAGAAATGGTGGAATGTTATTTGTTCTCTGTGCCTCTGTGAAAGGGCCTGGGTCTGGCCCTAGTCTTCGATAGGTCAAACATAACTCCCACAACTTATGTGACTCATAATATGGAGCAATCTCAGCAAAACAGCTACAGGGAGCCACCAAAGGTCTTCCCCCTGAAAGTATTTTATGTATGAAAGAGCACAAATTTCTCTTGACCAAATATTCTCTTTGAATTGTAATAATTTGCTATGTTTCTGATTACATTGTTATTCAACAGTTTTTTATTTGTGAAAATTCCAGGGTATAGCCAGCGAAGTGATTCCATTCTTATGCTCTGGCTCGCATGTCATTCAGAAGGACTGCCACCCATCAGCGCTTCACACGTTCACAGAAGCTCTTGCTCAGTGCCAACCTCCAATAACTATTCGGCCAGCCATCATGAAGTACCTTGGCAAGAGTCATAATCTATGGCATCGTATGACACTTTTGTTAGAGCAGTTAGCCTTAGAACAGGGAGCCACCACATCACCTCGTTCTGCTAAAAAGGATTATCATGACACTTATGATATGGAGCCTGTAATGAATCCACAACAGGTAAGTCAATCATCCACAGTTTTCTGTATAAATTAGTTAAGCAAGAGGGGGAAAGAGAAGAAAGATTATGGCTGGTTAGCTTCTTACATTTCAGCGACACAATGTGTATAATCCAATAGATTTTGCTTGCATACTGATTATGATATAACTGTTTTCTCCATATAATTGTTACCATTCTCATCTTTTCATATGATTGTGCTGATTTGTTTTGGAATTCAATGGTGTTTGGTGCTGCAACTTTGAGTGGATATTGTATATTTCCTGGTCAGTGAACAGCAAAATAAAAATAGGAGCAGTCATTGATAAAAACCAGTAATTGGGTGAGCCTCATGGTGGCTTCCCAAAGCTAGGTCACTGAGATAGGTTCCCATTACCAAGTCACATCAGTTGTCCTGTTGGCCTACTGGAGACCAAAGCCAGAACCTGTCCATATCCTGAGCTAAACCCTGCCCTAATCCAGAAACCCTCGAACATTTTGGGGTTGGATGCAGGGAAGGGGTGTGAAAGCAGAGGCAGGGCGAATCCTGTATAAATGGGAAGAAAGAGGTGGTGATGATGGAGCCAAGATGGAGTTCAACAACTCCAATTCAAGATCTGTAAACATGGGGCAGGCTAGCTCTAGGGCATCCAATCTAGACCATTGAAGATGGATGAAACGAACCAGCAAGTGGTAGCTAGCTGCCTGATATGCATCAACTTCTCTGAAGTCGACTCCAACTAGACTCCAAAGGTTGTAGGAGTCTTTGATCTAATAGCCAGCATATCTGAAGCAGCATGAATGATCCCTGCCCCGTGGCATGGATGATGAAAACCCCTCATATATGCACTAGGCGAGAATGGGCTTGGTAGGAATATCCATTGGCAACACCAAATTTGTAGAGGATTTTCAGGGCCTGAAGGGTAAACCAAGCAGGACACCCAGGCACTGGAGATGCTATGCTGGACCTAAAAGTAAGCCAACACAGCCTGGGCTACACAGTTTTTAACACTTTTGCTGCCCGATCACACACATTCCATCACGAAACCAAAATATGTAGTATGCGGCTTGACGCAAACAATAATTTAACAATTTGTAAATAATTTAACAATTTGTAAAAATTCCATTTATTATTCGAATACTATGGGATTTGTTTTAAAATGAGCACCAACCAAGTATCAGTGGACTGGGTGAATTGAACATCAGCAAGGAACACCACTCGCAGGACTCCGGGTCAAAGGTGTCATTGACCCAACAGGAAGCATGACGGAGGAAAAACCATTGAATGTCACCCTGAGACAAGAGGACAGAGCAACCTTCTAACCCACACAAGGCGAGATGGGTCCCATGGGACTCATCCGTTGTACCAATGAGCCCCAATGGAGTTTTCACACGTCTTACCCAGGTTGTGGTGACCAACTTGCCACTGCTAGGAGTTGGGGTTGTGGCGTACCTCGACGACTGGCTGGTGTCTGCTCCCAGCCGGTCCATGTCTCTGCTCACCAGGGGTTTGGTTCCTTCCCAACTCCCCGGGGTTCAGGTTCTTGATGAACTGGTGGAAGTCCCATCTGATTCCCTCTCAGGTTCGGACTTTGCTGGGTCTTGTATGGGATTCTCGGATCGCTTCTGCTCTGCAATGATGGCATGTCTTCTGATTCCTGCTACCAACTTGTTCATTGGTAGCCGGAATTAATGTAGATGCGGATGCTATATCTGAAGGAACAGTACAGGCGACTGACATTGCAGTAGTGGATGCTGATGTGAATGCTATATCTGAAGGAATGGTATGAGTGACTGTCGTTGCACCTGTGTTGAGCCACGAAGTTAGTTTGAGAAGTTTCCTATTTTCTCCTTCTCATCTGCAGCTCTCTTCTTCTTCTGTGGCCACTCAAAACATTATGCTACATTTCTGCTGAAAGTGTTATTCACCTGGAAATATATGCCTTAAATATTTAGTATTTAGTCCCAGACTAGGATGTAGGGTTATATTATGTTTGTGTGTGCTTTCAAGAAGACCTAAATATTTAAACATTCTGCTTACATAATGAACATGTCCTATGCTCGTGGAGGCCCTTATATTCGTGGGGCCCCCAGGCAAGTGCCCATTGGTCCCAAGCGGTAAGACGCCTCTGTTTTGACTTTCTGGTTGCTTTGCCTGATGAGATGGTAAAATGTCGCCGCTATGTGCACCTCTGTGAGGTGGGCTGGGTTCTGGCTATTGTTCCTAATAAGCCTATAGAATTCTTCAGATGATGCGACATAGTAGATGGTAATTATCTCAGCTTCAGGGAGCCAAAGAGGCTCGCCCAGAATTTGACTTTTTATTACATTTAACATTGGTTTTTGCGTTTTTTTTATGTTTTATTTTTTAATTTTGTAGTTCCAAAAGCTGTTTGTGGGTATTGATACACTTGAATAACACATGCAAACAGGAATATAAATGCAGTAGTTATTAAGTATCTGTTTAATGCTATTTTATAATTTTCTTCAATATTTTCAGGAGATCCTGGACTCATTGTCTGAGATGTATTCTTTACTGAAAGAAGAGGATTTGTGGGCTGGGTTGTGGCAAACAGTGGCTCATTACCCAGAGACTCGACTGGTAAGAGACAGAACTTTTACTGTATTTTCTTGACTTCATAATATTTTCAGAGCTTAGGGCATGCAAAGAAAAAGTCACAATAACACGGTAGAAATCTTTGGTATATTAATCTTTATATACCATTTTCACACACCTGGTCACACAACTCGTGGGCTTTTCGGGTGGTGTCGTGCAACCTGCAGTGGCATTGGGTGGCCCTTCCTTCTTCGGGTGGGTCGGGTCTGGTGGGGCAGGCCTCGTCCCCTTCCATCTGTCAGGTCTTCTGAACCGGTTGATTCCTTGCCCCTCCTTTCAGATTACTACATTTGTCTCAGGTCCGGCTCATTCTCGAACCGGGTGCTTGGATGATTTCCCTGGATTTACAGGACGCGTATTGGCACATCCCTATCCATCCGGGGTTCAGGGATTGGTTAAGTTTTGTGGTGGGGTGACAGGCTTACCACTTTTGTTGTCTCCAGTTCAGCTGGCACCTCGCATTTTTACGAGCTTAATTCAGGTCGTGGTGGCCCTGTCGTAACGCTGAACCCCGGTTCATTCCGAACACAGCGATTACACAACACATAACACCTTGCCTCAGCAACCGTTACTACCACCGTGTACTCCTACACACACCAGACCCTTGAGGCGTACCACTAGGTTTGTACTGGAACACAATGAATGAACATACGGAAGGTATTTAAAGGCCGTCGGATTTTGTCATTTAATTACAAAGAATAGACTCTGACAAATAATACTATATTAATTAACATACTCTATTAGGTCAATACACTTCCAATACCCATAGACCACTTGACCTCCGCGATCACCACCCACACTCGTAACTTCCGCCTAAGTCCCTAATACGGAATGATTACTGCAACGCTCCACACCCGGTTAGTCTTACATTCAATACTCACATACTGCAGACTTAACTTGGTCACTAAGATCACAACAGGCTCTCGCATAGCTGTCTGCTACACTTCGCTGCTGCCACAACCGGGGATCCAAAAGGACTTGCTCGTTCAACTTCCCCAATCAGACTCACTCCAGTCAGCCATCTACCTCAACCATTTCACCCCACCTCTCAAGGAAGGTATAATCCGATTAACCTTATCCCTAGAGAGGTAATCTTGTTCCTAGAAGCCTGACGAAGAATAATTCCTCTTTCCAGGAATTAATCATTTGGCTAAACAGCTTCGGTCTTAATCCATTGACCTTTCTTAGATATGTGATCCATAGTCTGTCTACTTACATGTACTTTCAATCATCATTCGTTAAGTGTTGTAGTAATGATCCTCTAGCTAATAATTCCTACTAACTTGTGGATTACAACACCACTCCCCTCCTTAAACACGCATATGTCCCCATATGCATCATTGCAATGGTTCCATTAGTGCAAGGACCTGGAGGATGCACCCACCATATATGTACAACTAAAAAATCATCCAATAAGTTCATCATACACACAATGAAATAAATTAAAATTTTCCCCGACATAACTCACAACACTTCTCCAACATATACATTATATTCACATCATAGTACAGGTAAAATAGTCTGTAATAATTGTTCCCATCTCCAACAATGCACATATCCCTAAACTGCTGACATATAATTACATACAAACATAACCATAAAATTACATGGCCCAGAATGCTGGCACTTAAACAGAAATGACACTAGTCATTAATATATACACAACACATATATATCTAAGGTTCTTCATCCTTAGTAATAAGTTAATTACAATTTAACATCTTGCCCTGTACTGTTAACATAAGGGCTTACAATGATCACACAATGTTTCACTGGCCTCCTCCACAATTGGCAGCATCACTTCTCTTGTCTTCGTGTCCCATGGTTGCTAGGTCATAGATCCTCCATGACCCAGACAAAACCCAGGCTGTCCAGCCTGGTGAATGTTGTCAATGTCCCATCGTTGCTCTGAGCTAACGTGATCCTAGCCTCCAGAGCAACGGAGATTCCTACCCCAGGGTCATGTTCCCTAGGGTCTGTGCTGACGTCTCGTTCCAGGGCACCAATCCCAGAACGCTGTAGATACCTCACAGCTCTCTGGTCATCCTTCCTTGCTGTGCTCACCACAGCTGTAGCACATTACTCTAGGCCCATCCGCCCAGAGTGTGTCCACCTGTATTCACACCTTCCCGACCGCTGTACCTGCAAAATATTCCCTCGGAGCCCCCTGGCTCGATCCCATTATTACATAACCCCCTCGGCTCCTTACTCTCTCCCCGTATATAGCTTGAGCGCAGCTGCAAAACCATTGCAGCTGGCCCTTATCCCTGCTTTGATGTCAGGGGGCGAATTTCGCCTATAACGTCACGTTGGCTTCACTTCCTCCCCCTTTTTTTTCTAGAATTACTGACTGTAGCCTCATGGCTTCCCTTCTACTCTACCTGAAGCTCTGTGACATGATCCCGGGGGACCTACTGAAGCCTAACACTCAGTAATGGTGCCGATGAGGTAATATACAGTATATACATACACATATATTATCACAATAAATACCTCATTAAAATAATTTCACACTTATGTCACTAAAACATCATACTGCCACTGGCTCGCCTCTAGCGAGATTCCTGTAACAACTTAATAAGAAATTAGTATATCTACTTCGCTCGTCCACTGCAACCACCAACACCTGAAATTTTGAAATTCTACATTATAATCTTATCCATAAGACTTACCCACTCCGACACACCATCACCTCTGGTCAACCCAACCACTGATGACCTCATTATAACACCACACTCCATACCAGGCGTCCAAACGCCACAACACTACACCACACACTACACCACACACTACACATGCTACTCTACACCACACTCTACACACTACCCCACACTCTACAAAACTACCATGCCCATGCACCACTACACACCACACTCTACACACTACCCCACACTCTACAAAAACTACCATGCCCATGCACCACTCAACACCACACTCTACACACTACCCCACACTCTACACACTACCCCACACTCTACAAAAACTACCATGGCCATGCACTACTCTACAGTACATACTATGCTCCTGTGTTCATGACCCCACGAGAGCGGGTCGGATAGCGATGTGTCACCGTCGCCTGTGGACCTTGTCCTCGGTCCTGCGAAGGCTGCTCTGTGTTATCTACCCTTGATTGCCAACTCCTCGTACCCCTACCTATGTTCTCAGCCGCTGGTGTGCTCTCCCCTGGCACACTCCCCGTAGGGTATGGCTCCTCACTTGCCTGACCGGTCAGTGTATAGACGCGGTCTGGGTGACAGGAGAACACGTGCCCTGTTTTTAGCACCTTAACCTTCACTTCTGCATTCTTTTTGCTAATTACCCGACATGGCCCCACAAATAATAAATAAATAAATATAAATATGTTTATTCAGGTAAGGTACATACATACAAGTGATGTTACATTAATGGATTGATATATAGATAGAGCTAGTACATACAATGCCTAAAGCCACTATTACGCAATGCGTTTAAACTTGGGTGCCAACTTACCTTCTGCCTGAGCGTGCATCTGCTTCACGAATACCCTATCACCTTCATTGATCACCTTTGCTTGGACCTTGTTCCGCGCATTATAATATGCCTCTGCTACCTCTGTCGACTTTCTTAAATGTAGTTTCACCAAGTCAAATGCCTTGGTTGCTCGCCTACAGACAACACTTTTGAAGTCTAACGCATAGCATGGCGGTTGCTTGCTTGTGAACGTCGTGAACGGAAGTCGGGGATCGAACCCATGCAACAAAAAATGCGGGGTTTCTCCCACCGACCTATTGAACGCCGTGTTGAGCGCCGACTCCACCATCGACAAACTCTGATCCCATGCAAGCACATCATCAGCAGCCAAATGCCGCAGAATACTGATTACTTCAGCATTGTGTCTTTCAACCAAACCATTCGCCGATGGTCGATATGCCAGCACTGGAGTATGTTTGAATTGATACACACTCGCGATGCTTTGAAATACTTGATTGATAAACTCTGACCCTTGGTCTGACACAACTTGTTGAGGAGCCCCAAACCTGGTTAACACACTTTCCACCATGGCCTGGGTCACATCCTCTGCCGACTTAGAACGGAGTGCACTCACCACAGTGAACCGTGTGAGTGCATCCACTGCTACAAATATGTACCTCGCCCCTGAATGAGCTTGTGGTAGCGGCCCAATGAGATCTATGTGTACTCTCTCGAAGGGAGTACTCACCTCCGGCCACCTACGCAAAGGTTCCGCCCCCAACCTATGTGCCTTGTACCTCAGACAACTGTCACAAGAGGCTACATAGACCTTGATATCTTTACCCATGGATGGCCAATAGAACCTTTGACGTGCCCTCTGCAACGTCTTGGACTCCCCTCCATGGCCTGCTGCTGGGATGTTATGACACAGATACATTGCAGTCCTCTGGAACTCCGGTGTCAAGACTGCCTGGTATACTGGTTCAGACCGTATACCCGAAACCCTACCAAGATGATACAACACCTCATCTTCAACCACAAACTCATCCACTGGGGCTGGAAGTGACTTCCTCAACTCCGCACGCTGACCCCTCAAAAACTTCCTTACCTCCCCCCACAGGGGGTGACCTTCCTGACTCCGTATCAACTCCCTCACATTCCACGACACATCTTCCTCCCCCCTTTCACTCACCACTGCTACATTGTGACACCTTGACAACGCGTCAGCGACCACATTGCTTTTCCCTGGTACATGTTCAAAGTTTGTAATGTTAAACTCTGAGAGCGAGGTAACCCACCGTGCCAGCCGCTGACAAGGCTCCTTGGACTCGAACACATACTTAAGGGGTTTGTGATCGCTTCTGAGCCAAATTTCATGTCCAAGCAAGATGTACCGGTTTCGTTGTAATATGAATGTGATCGCTAGCGCTTCCCTCTCAATCGTACTATAGTTCCTCTCTGCAGGACATAGTACTCGTGAACAAAATGCAATGGGACGCTCCCGTCCTCGCTCATCCACCTGAGCTACCACACCA